GAATTTTCAAATATACTTATACAGGCCCCATAGGTATTTTAAATTCTTATGATTTTTTGTACCGCTAAAGACTGGCCAGTAGATATCCAAACTTTTATTTTCAAATGAGAATCTTCCTTTTTTACCGTTAATTACATTATTTTGTTTAATTCGACATTTTTCCTACAAATTTTGACATATAAAAATCAAAATTTGAACTACTATAGTTTTAGAGTTATTTAACATTGTTTACTAAGAATATTGAGAGTATTAGAAGGCATGTTAAAATCAAAAAATATAAAAAATATTTGAATACACCTATACATTTTTAAAGACAGTAATTATAGAATAAGGTACCTAATTTTGTATAATATGATATTGAAACCCACAGATGAAGTTTGCTGTTGCAGTGTTTTATTTTTAGATTATTATTTTAATAAATTTAAATTTTATTACTTTGTATATTTTATATACTTACGGTATTGTAAAATCATTTATATACGATGCACTTCGTGTGTTTCAGCGTAATTCAACTGTTGATCGTAGTGGTTTCTGGTTTAGCTGTCGGTAACTGTGCCGGGGAGAGTAGGAAGATAGACGAAGTGCAATATAAAAATCACCGGACGGCGTCCGTCAGCAACGAAACGTTGAAGAATCATAAAGCGTATCCGGTGTATCCGGTGCAGGTATATGCCAACCTGTCGAACGTCAGGGATTTTGAATCGGTCAATCTGAATGCGGAACAGCAGCAGCCATCGAGGACTACAGAAACGCCAACTGACGTGGTGCAAGTGTTCTTCAACTCGGCCACCGCGGGCAAGAGCAAGAAACCGCTGCAGAACGCTGCCGCTGRGACGACACCTATTCCTGTTTCGACCGTTCCAGCTGCAGGTTCCGTTTACAGGACCGTAACGTCGTCTACATACATAGTGACCGCTGAGAACGTCGCCGTATCCACCGACACCAAAGACTCGCCGCACCACAAGTCACCCGTTTATTCGGTACCTCGGTCCGGGGCCGAAGTTCAGTACGCAACTTCGACGRTGGACTTCCGGGGAGCGCCGACGGTCACCGAAGAACAATCGAGAATTAAAACGAAATTCAATGGCACGAAAATCAAGCGAATCTTAAAGGCGCAAAACCAGGCAGCGCAGTCGTCGCTTCACTCCACTGTAGCCACCATCACTGCCGCACAAACGCCACCCCAGTTCGCCAGTAGTAATCAGCAAAATTCGACCGGTTTCGTGGTCAACGCCAAGGCAAATGCTACCGTGGTAGCATCGTCGAAACCGTTTGCAACCGTGCTGGTACCCAAACACGTCTTGGACGGTGGAGTCCAGCATCAGCAAGTGTTACGAGACTACGCGCAGCAAGAAGACTCGTTCCGGCCAATTGTTCCGCCGACATTCACGTCGTACAAATCGTCAAACGCCGCCGTCGACACGAACAGCATCGTCGATAACAGACGAAGTTCGATCAAGAGCAACCAACAACAGCTCCTGCAACAAAAAATCTCTGCAGTGACGTCCGTCCCGAAATTGAGCAATTTCGGGTTCGTGAAACCACCCATGTACAAGGTGCAAGAATATGTCCCGGGCGAAGTGAACCCGTCCGCCGTACTCAACCGCGGATACAGTAACGAACAGGACAGGTCGGACCGCTCTTCCGTGATTTCCCAAAAACGGGATACCGGAAATTCGTACAAGCGCGACCATCAGTCACCACTGTCGTATTACGAAAACGAGCAGAAGTACGAAGGTCTACTGAAAAGAGGAGAATCGTTGAAATACGGAGTCACTGAACCGGAGGTGGGACAGTTTGACAGTGGCAGTGGTCCGCAGCAATATCGCGAGTACTATCAGGCCACCGAATGGCCGGCCGCTGCGGTCAATTAYGAGCAATACGACGCGAGATCGCCACCGCAGCAGTTCGAATCGGTCCGATTGCCAGGACCGGTGTCGGAAACAATACCTAAAGAGTACTTCAACGGCCCATTCTCAAGTTTTTCGCCTATAAGTCCGCCTGCCAGTGTTTCGTCTCTGCAGAGCCCCTCAAAAACGGAATCCAGTGACGTAGAGTTCGAAATGGGTAACCTGAACGCCAAAGACGTACTGAAATCGCTACTGCGTGACATGCTTAAGTCTAAACAGCAATCTGAGCTCAAGCCGAAAACGCCACCTTCTATTGACGACATCATCGAATCGTATCTCACCAATAACCAACAAAAGGCAGACGACAGTTTCAAAATACAAACAGGTGAGTCCGGACATCCGGCGAACAGTACCTATAAGGCTATATATATATATATATATGTACCTAAATAGTAATATTATAATACCTACCAAAGTCAGAGGTTTTCAACCAGGGTGTCGCTAACTTTATTTAGGATTCCGTGAAATGAAAAACAATAATGATTAAAAATAAAAATACATAGTTAATGTTCAATGTTA